AGCCTCAACAGATCCCCTCTGGAGCACCTCACAATCCTCCCTGATGATCACCTAGGGTTCCCAATCCTAGTTGGGGGCAGGGGATTGCCTGGTTCTGTGGATTCCTGCCCACTGCCAGCCAGCTGGCCGGTGAGAAGAAATCCCCCTCAGTGATGTTGCGTGATGTGGGCACGCCGAGGGCAACACTCTAGTTTTTGGACAAAACTCTATGGTTTGAGGGTGATTTTACCATAGGGTTTTGCCCAAAAATCAGAGTGTCACTCCCAACATGCCTACGTCACTTCCGGGTGACATAGGCATGGCACGCAATATCACTTCCGTTGATGTCTGGGGCAACACTTCCGGTTCCTGGAACATTCCCACACATACACCCATTGGCATCTCTAACGGACCTGGCAACCCTGTTCTCACCACCCTGAACAACTTAGTGTCATACACAAACTTAGCCACTTTGCTACTTACTCCCAACTCCAAATCATTAATGAACAAGTTTAAAAGTATCGGACCCAGTACTGAGCCCTGTGGTACCCAACTGCTTACCACCCTCCACTGTGAAAACTGCCCATTTATATGCTCTGTTTCCTGTCAATTAACCAGTTTTTAATCCACAAGAGAACTTGTCCTCTTATCTCGTGACTAGTGAGTTTACTTAGGAGCCTTTGATGAGGAACTTTATCAAAAGCATTCTGGAAGTCTAGGTAAACAACATCTATTGGGTCACTCTTGTCCACATGCTTGTCTACCCCCTCAAAGAACTCTAACAGGTTAGTGATCCATGCAGATTCTTCCTCAATAGGTTTTGTTCATCGATATACCTTATGATGAACCCCAAGGATGGATGGGTGGCTTACTGTGGTGGCTGACTGCTGATTTAACAGCAGCTGCCCATACTGACCCTCTGTTCTCTAAGCCCAGAGACAGATTGTCCCTGTAACCTACCAGGAAAATTCCGGGTAGGTCACTGCCCTGGAAGGCCACTGGTAGCCCCACTTGGTTCAGTTTGGTGCTCCAGGAATGTATTAACATTCCAATCCACCCCCACCTACCTGAAGGGGGGGGGACTAAAGAAACATTCTAAAAAAAATAGGATTGAAGGTCAGTTAAAGTCTGTTGCAGCGATGGCATAAATTGGGAAGGAAACAAAAAATTCATTTCCCCCCCCCTTTTTTGCTTTGGGGGAAATTGGGGAGGAAAGAGAAAAAATTCTGGTGGAAAATACAGTTTGGGAAATTAATCTGGAGTCATGAGGTCTTAGAAACGGAAATCTTGTGGGAAATGAATTTTGAGGGGAAAATAAATGTTTGGAAGAAGAAATTATTTTCTGAAGGAACTCAAGGGAAATTAATGTGTTTGGGAAGAGGGTCTGGGATGGGAATGTAATCTGTAAAGACAGAAAACATTTTCAATGCATGTGGGAACAAGAAGTGGTAATTGAACCTGATTGTAGCACAGGAATGTAAGAGATCCATGTGATTCTGCACATTGTTTCCAGCTGCAGCCAGCCAGATGCTTCTAGGAGCTCATGAGCAGGGCATGGTGATAATATGATATTCAGAGCTATACTGCCTCTAAACATGGAGGCTCTATTTAGCAGTCATTGCATAACAGCTGTTAATAAAACAAATTTTGTGTCCAGTGGCACCTTTAAGACAACAAAGTTTAATTCTGGGTATGAGCTGCATATAAGCTTTGTTCTATTGCTTCAGACTAACATGGCTACCCACCTGAATCTGTTGAGATCTGTCTTCCACAAATTTCTCCAGTCCTTTCTAAAAGTCATAGTCCTCGCGGCACCTTGTGGGCAGTGAATGTATTTACTCCGATAATGTGTTTATTAATCTGTAAGCTGTCTTACACATTAGTCAGTATCACAGGAATACACTTATATGTATATGAGAGCCAGTTTGGTGTAGTGGTTAAGTGCGCGGACTCTAATCTGGGAGAACTGGGTTTGATTCCCCACTCCTCCACTTGCACCTGGCTGGATGACCTTGGGCAAGCCATAGTTCTGATAAGAGCTGTTCTTGAAAAAGAGCAGTTTCTGTCAAGAGCTCTCTCAGCCCCACCTACCTCACAGGGTGTCTGTTGTGGGGAGGGGAAGGGAAAGAAGTTTGTAAGCCGCTCTGAGACACCTTTGGGTAGTGAAGGGCAGGGTATAAATCCAATCTCTTCTTCTTCTTATATTCATCATATTGCAATATGCAGATTTATTTGTATGTAATTCATTCATTCATACCACACTTTCTCTCCTATGTGACTGAAACTGGCTTACAACATTCCCTGTTTCTCCAGTTTTATCCTCACAATAATCCTGTGAGGTGGGTTCTACTTTGTGAGCTACTGACATTAAAGTTGTGTGCGAGCAATTTGGCTTCTGCATAAATTAGTTTGCTCTGAAGCCATCCTTCCTGAGCTAAGACAAAAATGTGTGGGCTAGCTCATACTAACTCAGCTTAGAGGGAACACTGGGTGGGTTAGGATAAGAGTGTGTAATGGCTAGGGATGTGCATTCGGCAAAGCCAAACAACAACAAAAAACCCTGAAAAATGCCTTTTCGGCATTTTTTGGGTGTTTGGCATACTTAATCAGATTCCATGATCTGATTCAGTTGCTGAATACTGAATGCCGAAAAACCCCTGAAAATATTTGGGGTTTTTTTTCAGGGTTTTTTGGCATTGCCAAATACAGGCTCTGGGAGGCTTTAAACTTTAAAGGGCTTCACTTACCTTCTTTTTCCTGCCATTTTTGTCTCTTTCCCGCCCTTTTATACTGCAGAGATCCTCAGATTGACCTGAGTCCTATTGGGTTTGGGCACTGATTGCCACAGTGGCACTGGTTCTGGTGGGCACATTGCACTGGTTTTGCTGCTGGCCTTGCAAACATGCTCCTCACTTACTTTCTAGTGCAGAGATTCTCTGGGAGACACTGCTGCCTGCCTTTTTTTCCTTCCATAGGAAACAATGGAGGATTGTGGGCACCCTCTTTGGATATAGTGGTGCTGAATATTTTCAGGAACACCAAATATTTTCAGGTGCCAATACAATACGGTATTGGTATTGTTATATTAGGGAATACTAAAAAAATTCAGCTTTATTATATCCGAATCCAAAAAAACCCAATTTCCCCCCCCCCTTGCACACCTCTAGTAACGGCCCAAGCTCACCCAGCACACTTCCAGGGCAGAGTGGCGATCTGAACTTGGGTCTCCCAGATACTAGCTCAATACTCGAACCACTGAACCACCTGGCTCATGGGTAACAGACCGAAAATCTCTTATCAGCTGACCAGTGCACCCATTTAAAGTTTCCAGAGAGAGATGTGTGACCTCCTGAAAGACACTGAAAGCTTTCGGTTGGTTAAGGACAGATTGGGGAAAACCCAGTCACTTGGCCTTTCAATAGAACAGTAGATGGCTAAGAAAACAAACAACTGATGTGCAAGAGACATAGAATAAATCCAGGCAAGAGGTGTTCTAGAGTAGCCTGATCTAATCAGATCTAGGAAACTAAGCACAATCAAACTAAGTCAAGGGGTGCTATGCGAAGACAGGCAATGGCAAACCACCTCCGTTCATCTCTTGCCTTGAAAACCCTACTGGGCAATGCTCCTTCTAAGCTGTGGAGTCTTGTGAGCAGAAGTTCTATTTTGTGAGCTACTGGCATTAAAGTTGTGAGCGAGCGATTTGGCTACTGCATAAATTAGTTTGCTCTCAAGCCATCCTTCCTGAGCTAAAAGAAAAGGCTAAGCCAGAGGCTAAAAAACTGTGAGCTAGCTCACACTAACTCAGGTTAGAGGGAACACCCTAAGTTGACTGCAACTTGACACCACTTCCCAGCAGAGGTGGGCCATGATGTAACTGGTGACAAATTTAACTTTCCTCAACCCTCAATTTTTTGCAGTTGCTCCATAGAAATTGCCAAGGAAGACCACCCCATTCTGAAGAGAGATTTTTCCATTGCAAGTCCACAGGGATGCGGAGATGCACCATGAATGAAACTGCCAGTGCCTCTAGCTGCACCTCCACTGCAATGCCCATGGAATGCTACATGGTCCTTGATGATCCTGCTCAGAAGACTGTCATTGCTGTGTTGTGCTGCATCTTTGGGAGCCTTTGCATCTTGGAGAACTCCTTGGTGTTATACCTCATATTTTCTTCCCAAAGGATCCGGAACAAACCTTCCTATCTCTTCATCAGTAGCCTGGCTGCGGCAGACACGCTAGCCAGCATCATCTTTGTCTCCAGTTTTGTAAATTTCCATGTTTTCAATGGGACTGATCCCTCCAAGGAAGTCTTCTTGCTGAAGCTTGGAGGGGTCACCACTTCCTTCACAGCTTCCCTGGGGAGTCTGCTGATGATGGCATTTGATCGGTACATCTGTATCCTAAAACCGTCAGAGTACAAGGTCCTCATAACAAGTAGAAGAGCTCTGACAGCTTTGGTGGTCCTTTGGGTCACCATCATGTTCATCGCCTTCCTGCCCCTTCTGGGATGGAACTGCTGCACCCTGAACTCTACCTGTTCTGAGTTGTTTCCCTTTGTCGACACCAAGTATCTCGCAATCTGGATTGCTTTAGTAGTGATCCTTCTGGTATCTATTGTGTACGCTTACATGCACGTCCTTTGGAAGGCCCATAAGCATGTGTTGTACATGAAGAAATACCATACCCAAACTGGGCAGCAGAACACAAGGATGAGAATGGACATCACGTTGGCCAAGACCTTAGTGATTGTCCTGGTGGTTCTTGTCATGTGCTGGTCACCAGTCTTGGTGCTCATGACTTACAGCGTGTTTGCCAAACTGGATGACACCATCAGGAAGATATTTGCCTTCTGCAGCACTCTCTGCCTGGTGAACTCTATGGTCAACCCTGCTATCTATGCCTTACGGAGCAAGGAGTTGTGCTCCTCTTTGAGGAAAGTCTGCTCCTATTTGGGGAAGACGCCAGGCTTCCCAGAGAGCAGCCCAGAAGCAGAGAGTACTCAGAGGTCCTGCCCAATAGAAACCACTTATGAGGAAGTCATCTGCAACACAGTGGCAGAACCAATGAAGGACTGAACTCCAACACACACATACACAGGCAGAAGGGTGGTTTCTTCCTATCTGAAGAGTTTCTGAAACTTATTTTCTGTCAGCTCAGCTGTTCCACTGTGAGCCCAGTAGGATAATTTCCCAGGTTGTGGCTTAGAAGCTCTCTGGTTGCCATCAGTGAATGACAGGATCAACATATCCCAAGCAGTTTCAGTGGGCTCTTCTTCCAGATGAGAAAAAGCCATTGTGGGGCAGTGGTTAGAATATCAGACTTTGATCTGGGAGACTCAGGTTCAAATCCCTGAGTTGCCATGAAGGTAAATGGGTGATCTCAGGCATAGAGATGTGAAGGCCTGGGAAAAAAACGGAAAAATTCAGAAAAAAACGTTTTCCCGTTTTTTTCCGAAAAATTGGAAAAATTGAAAAAAGAAAAGAAAAGAAATTGATTACGGAACTTTTTATTTTAACATGATGAATAAAATATTTTAAGACAAGGTGTTCAAATATTTTTCAAATCATTTCTAATATATATATATATGGTATCAGATTGATCTAATTTCTGTGCACTGAGGACAAACAAGTCCTAGGTTACAAACTGAACTCTCCAATGCAAGAACAAGATGCATTTCTTCCTTTAGGAGGTGCTATTGTCAGAAGAAAATAAAAAGGTTTCAGTTTTGTGTTTGCACATGGGTGGGTATTCTGTTTGTAATAATTGTTTGGATACACTATATTTTTAATATGCTAGTTGTGATAATTTCATGCCAAGTAAAAATGTCCACAGTCATATTTTATGTTCCTAAAGTAACAGAATGACTTTCAATCTAGAAAAGACAAAAGAAATGGTAATGTAGCAATTTTTTCCCATTTTTCCAAAAATTTCCGTTTTTTTCCACACAAAAAACAGAGGGGGAAAACGGGTTTTTTCCCCCGAGCTTCAAAATTTCCAGAAATTTTACATCTCTACTCAGGGGTGGTCTTAGCCACAAGGAATCTGTGGCAACTGCCATAGGCCCCAGTCTGGGCAGGCCTCCCACTTCCCCATGGTCCCACCTATCCTCCAACAGTGGAGGAAAGAACAGAACAGAACATTCAGTTTCCCACCGCTGTATGCACCTACCCCCTCTGGGGCTCAGGCAGTCGGCTCAGCAGCCGGAGTGTGTGCATGCCCTCTCAGCAGCTGGCTTAAGGGCGAGGAGGGGTACAGTTAGTCTGGTGTCCCATCCCAGACTTTTGCCCTGGGCCCCTGAATCACTAAGACTGGCCCTGAGTGACCCTGAACCCAATAACATGCTGTCAGTCTAACCTACCTCGCCAGGTTGTTGTGAGGGTAAAATGGGTAAGCAAAAAGTATCTTCATGTATATGCCAATAAAAGGCTCGTCTAAAAAAAAAGGGGGCAAAAGAGAACCATGTGTTGCTCTGAGCTCCTTTCAGAAAGGGCAGGATAAAAATGTACTAGAGATATAGGAATTGAAGTAGGTGTTCAGGTCCTGAACAATCTTCATTGGAAGCATGTTTTGAAAAAATCCATGGCAGCCTCTTCCTTGAGGGTGTGTTTATGTTATGGAGCATGTGGATGAGTGTATGGTTGGAGTGGGACTGTGGCTCAATGGCAGAGCATCAGCTTGACATGCAGAAAGTCCCAGGTTCAATCCCCAGCATCTCTACCTGAAAGGACCAGGTAGCAGCTGATGTAAAAGAGACTTATTGCCAGGTTCACTAAGCAATATTGACCCGGATGGACCATTGATCTGATCCAATAAAAGCTTGCTTAATGTGACACATTTTAACATTTGCAATACACATTGCTATCCAAACCCAAGGCTCATTCACTGCGGACCAAGATTTGACATGATTTATTTCATTTTATTTGAACCCTGTCTTTCTTCTCATTGGAGATGCAAAGCAGCTTACACTGCTCTCCTGTCCTCCATGTTATCCTCACAACAACCCTGTGAGGTAGGTCAGGCTGAGAGTGTGTGACTGCCCAAAGGTCACTTAGCAAGCTGCCATGGCAGAATGGGGAATCAAACCTAGGTCTTCCAGACCAGGACAGTATGGTATACTATGCTTCTGCAGAAGCAAAGGAAACATGCAGAATAAAGCACTAAATTCAGGGTTCAGCCTGGGATTTTTTTTTTAAGTCAACTTTTTAAATTTCATAGGAAAGCATCGTATACTATGCTTCTGCAGACGCAAAGGAAACATGCAGAATGAAGCACTAAATTCAGGATTCAGCCTGGGATTTTTTTTAAAGTCAACTTTCTAGGTTCCATGGCTGTAGATATTTTCTTGAAATGAAGTGAGGCATTGTTTCTGATATCTCAGAACTCAGAGGAGGCTGAGAATAATTTCCAGTGTTAGAAGTGGGGGCAGGCAGTGTAGCTCCTTGCCCCTGCAGCCTCTGACAAGCAAAACCAGAATAAATTATACAAAAGGAATTATACATTTTCTTAATTTAATTCATTGCTAGTGCCCAGTTTTTGTAAATTGTCAGTTTTCTAGTGCAGAATAAACCCTGCTGTGCTTACAATTCTTATATGTCTAATTAAAAGATGTCTGTTTTTTATTCCAAGCTTCCAGGTGATTGGAACAAATTTAGATCAGATGCCCTTGAACACAAAGACACTGCAATCCTATGTAGAGTTACTCCAATCTCTAAACCCAGGAAGGGCCTGTCTCTTTACAATCAGATCCAGATCCCAACAACCCCAAAGCACACTTTGGCCGTGGTCACACAGTCATTTTGATCGGGTTCCACCGCTGTTCCCTCTTGCATTTAAAATTGCTGATCAGATGCCCACATCTGTCTCCCGCACCAAGGTGGGCTCACTTGCGCGATCCTCCCGGTTCCCTAGCGAGTTTTCCTACCCCTGGAAAATCAAGTACTTTCTGGATATTTGTGCTTTGAATCTGCGATTTCACCCATCGGGACAGCCATTTCTCACAATGATCGCAATTAGGTCATCTGAACATCGTTCTTACAAAGTTTTTTTTTTACAAGCTTCCTTCGTGCGCATGAGCAACCCTGTGCTGAATAAATTCAATGTATAAACATTCAAGCGCACATATAGACTCCAGCGCTCAGTTGTACGTCACTGGTTAATTTTGTTTGCTGTTCGGGGGGGGGGGACCCACAAGAACAAGGGAGTACAGCAAGTCCCAGTGGGAGTGGTGATTCGACCATGTGTATATGTGCATGCACAAAGCCAATTTTTTTAAAAAAACACAAGCTATGCTGCCCAAACAGTGGCGTGGCTATCTGAACGGTGCCCAGAGCCTCGTTGCGTGATGCAAGCAGTTCAGAGAGGGATGTGTGGTCATCCCAACCCGAAAAAAAATATTCCCGATCAAATCTATAGTGGGAACAAATTGGAATAAACTTGCCGTATGACTTTGCCATAGGATTTCTCAAGCTAGCATCAAACAGCCTCTGTTGCACTTTAATCGATAAAATATAAGTGCCAGAAATCTCAAGGAATCACATCCTGTATGTCTACTTAAGGTTTCTAATTCTGCTGCCAGAGTAGGACTTAGTGAAAAACTCCTTTCGTGGCGCCACAGGGTATTTCAGTCTCTCTTAACTTGACATGCTCATGTGCAAGGCTGTTTATCTTTCAAACATGATTTTTACACACATGGGTTGTTTGCCCTAGCTTAGACTCTTCTGGGAAGTGATGATCCCACCGCCATTTCCCCACAGTATAAGTTTCTGTGCACCTCCCTGGCTTTCCAAACTTGCTTTGCGGTGATGTTTTGAGAAGGCTACAGCAAAGCTGGGGTGATGCTACCCACCTAGATTGACGTGTACAGACCTTCTCAGTTCTACTCTCATTTTCTCTGCCCCAGTCCCCCGTGATCCTATCCCCTGCCAACAAAGAGCTTTTTTTGTTTTCTTAATTGTGTGGCACCACAGGGTATTTCAGTCTCTTTTAACTTGACATGCTCATGTGCAAGACTGTTTATCTTTCAAAGATGAATTTTACACACATGGGTTGTTTGCCCTGGCTTAGACTCTTCTGGGAAGTGAGGATCCCACCGCCATTTCCCCACAGTATGAGTTTCTGTGCACCTCCCTGGCTTTCCAAACTTGCTTTGCGGTGATGTTTTGAGAAGGCTACAGCAAAGCTGGGGTGATGCTACCCACCTAGATTGACGTGTACAGACCTTCTCAGTTCTACTCTCATTTTCTCTGCCCCAGTCCCCCGTGATCCTATCCCCTGCCAACAAAGAGCTTTTTTGTTTTCTTAACTGGCAATTTAATATTGTTTTAACAATTTGTCAGGTTCTCTGAATCTCTTGCTTGCTTTTTAAAAAAAGTCAGTCTCTAGCTCTTTTTGTTGCAAAGATAGATGTTTTCTCTTATATCTCTTCAATTACAGGGCCTAGAGACTTAATTTTTTAAAACAAAAACTGGTAATTCAGAGAACCTGATAAACAGATTGCTGTAATGTTATAAAAATAGACAATTGTTGATTTTTTTAAAAAAAACTGAAAAATCCCCTGGTGGTGTGGGGAGGTGGCTGCTGCCGGGAGCCTAGGTCAGGGACACTGTTGGGGAACCTGCTATGGGGAAGCTGCTGCAGTGTATCAGCAGCAATACGAAAACCACCCAAACCCATCCCTGTCTCAAAATACCAGGCTTCTGCAGTGATTTGTGCAACATGCACAGATTTTGTCTTCTCAGGTTTCTTTTCTTTTTTGCTTACAAAGGAAATTCAAAGTCCTCCTGACCCAAAAGATACAAGCTTGACAATCTGTATGCGATGCCCAACGGAAGCCAGAAAAGGGCTGATTAGGCCAACCGTTGGTTAGGGATGGGACTTCAGTGACAGCCAAGGTCAGAGTGTATCTCTTCCTGGCATAGAATTCTGCTAGAAATTATCACTATTATTATACATACCACATACACAGCCCTGCTTTGAACCCTATGGCTTATAATAATCTGAAATTTCATTGAAAAGTATTATCTCCTACCATCCATAATGCTATAAATCTGGAACAGCAAAGATAGCTTTCTTTCTCTGAGCTGCTGATGGTGAAGCAGATGGGCTGATGACTGTTAGCTATTTATGGTGGGTGTCTAACAACAGCTGTTAGCCATGAATGCTAAATAGAGCCTCCTGGTTCCAAGACAGCAAACCTGTGTGGCAGGCTGCAAACAGCAGGAGAGAGCTGCCTTGTCTTGCTTTGTATTTCCTGGAAGCAGTTGATTGGTAGGAAACACGATGCTGAACCTTGGTCTGACCAGCAAGGCTCCTATTTCATTCTTAATTGCAGTTTACAGTGCTATAATATCCTTTTTGAGGTGTGGTGACCAGAACTGTACACAGTACTCCAAAAGAGGTCGCACCATCGATTATACAGGGGCATGATGATCCCAGTATGGCTGTGAGAGTTGGACTATAAGGAAGGCCGAGCGCCGAAGAATACATTCTTTTGAACTATGATGCTGGAGAAGACTCTTGAGAGTCCCTTGGACTGCAAGGAGATCAAATCAGTCAATCCTAAAAGAAACCAACCCCGACTGTTCCCTGGAAGGCCAGATAATGAAACTGAAGCTCAAAACCTTTGGCCACCCAATGAGAAGGGAGCACTCACTGGAGAAGACCCTGATGCTGGGAAAGATTGATGGTCAAAGAAGACAGGGACGGCAAAGGATGAGATGGTTAGACAGTGTCATAGATGCAATGAACATGAAATTGAGCCAACTTCAGAGGACGGTGGAAGAACAGTTTCTGTCAAGCTCTCAGCCCCACCTACCTCACAGGGTGTCTGTTGTGGGAAGGAAAAGGGAAAGGAGTTTGTATGCCGTTCTGAGACACCTTTGGGTTGTGAAGGGCAGGGTATAAATCCAATTTCTTCTTCTTCTTCTACAAAAGGACCCTCAACCACATTTTATGTAGGGGTATGAAAAATAAAAGCAGTAGCACACTGGGCCATTTCTGTGCAGAAAATCAATAAATACTGTACTAAAAATATCCTTACCACTCTCATTTGCTATAAAAAAAATATATAAAGACGACACCAGTAATTAAGAACTAGGCCTGCTCCTAGGTGCGCAACAAAAGAGCACACCCCAGTGACACTTTAAAGACTAACAACACTTATTTTGCACACGAAAGCTTACACTTTGAATAAAACTTCGTTGGTCTTAAAGGCACCACTGCACTCAAACTTTACTCTAACACTTATTCCAGTATGAACTTTCCTGAGAGAGAGCTCGTCTCTGCTGATAGGATCCTCCATCCGTATAGTTCTATCTTGGTTGTAGTTAAACAACAGCTAAGGGAAACGCAGCAGGGTTAGTCCCCTTCGGCTTGATGCAAGCCTACTTCCTCGTTTTTCCTCATTCCGCTGCAGTAGAGGCCAAGGCGCGTCTCGTCCGCTACAATCAAGCTGCATCACGTGATCAGGAAATAACCCCCAGGGACTACAAGGGCGGTCGCCTTCTCAATACCACCCAGCCACTGCCCCCTATATTGGATATCCATATACAGGGGGCAGTGACCCAGCCCGCCATCTACGGTAGACAAATCGCTCTGCCTGAGAGAGGCCGCTATTGGTCGAGAGAGCAGCCAATGGGGGTGTGGCGGCCGTCTCTCGAGGGTTCTGAGGGGAAATAATGGAGCTCCGGGTGCTTGGCTTGAGGCCGGCCGCGTCGGCTTTGCTCGTGACTCTCTTTTTCCTCAGCGCGGCCCGTCCGCCGGTCTTTTCGGCCAGTCCTCCGCGCTACTCGCCCGACTGGGCCAGTCTGGACGCGCGGCCGCTGCCCGGCTGGTTCGACGCGGCCAAGGTGGGCATCTTCGTTCACTGGGGCGTGTTTGCCGTGCCGGCCTGGGGCTCGGAGTGGTTCTGGTGGCACTGGCAGGGCGAGCACCGGCCCGACTTCGACCAGTTCGTCCGCTCGCGCTTCCCACCTGGCACCACCTACGCCGACTTCGCTTCTCGATTCAGCGCCCGCGACTTCCAGCCCCACGAGTGGGCCACACTCTTCCAGGAGGCCGGAGCCAGGTCAGGCCCGGACCGAACCGCCTGGGGGGAGGGAACGAAACTTGGCGGGGAAGGGGGATTCATAAGGCTGCTAATCTCCAGATGCGGCCTGTTGTGAGATTCCTGGAGATTTGGGGAGGAAGCTCAGTGGAGATGTGATGCCACCCCCCTAGAGCTGCTGTTCTCCCCCCCCCCCAAGCTGCTGTTTTCACCCACCCACCCCGAGCAGCTGCTTTCTGTAGTCTGGAGATCAGTGGCAGTTCCAGGAGATTTGCAGACCCCTCCTGGAGGTTGACAGGCCAACCTGGAGTTCTCCTGGAATCGGCTGATCTACAGACTGCAGAAATCAGTCCACTTGGTGGAAATGGCAGCTTTGGAGGGTAGAGTCCATGGAATCCAGATGCCAACTACCCCCGTTACTGCCCGCAGTTCTCCAGGAATTTCTCAGTTACTATAGAGAGAAAGGGTGCAGTATGTTGTGGGCTATTTGCTTTTCACGGAGAGTGTATTAGTAGAAGTACTTGTTGAAATACTCTGTTAGTGGTAGTATTAGTGGGAGCATTAGACGTTTTTCAAAGTATTGTTCTGACCTGGATGGCCCAGGCTTGCCAGGATTAGCCCTGGTTAGTACCTGGATGGCAGGCCACCCAGGAACTCCAGGGTTGCTGTGCAGAGGCACAGAATGTGACAAACCACATCTGTTCATCTCTTGCATTGAAAACTCTATGGGATTCCCATAGGTCAGCTGCAATCACACTTTCCACCACTGATTAATATTGGTAATTACTGGGGTGCTAATGATATGACCTTGTTATTGATGATGACCTTGTAAATTGGATGTAGTCTAAATGACAGAAGAATGAGGTAGTAGAACAAAGACATGGCATTTAAAAAACCCTTTCATTTGTGGGGCTCTACCACCTAATATTTCTAAATATATTTCTATCCTGCTTCTTAACCAATAGCAACTTATCCAGAAAATTGAAAGAGCAAAAGAACAAGTATATATAATAAAACCAAAATCTATTAGAATTATTCTGCTATTCTTGTGGGCTAGATCCTGCCTACTGCCTCTGTTCCACACTTGCATGAAGGAGAAGTGAAGCACATGACTTTTTGTTTTTTATCATTTTACTTCCTTGTAAGGAGAACTTTACTTGTCAAGCATCTGGGCAAATATGTAGTTGCAACCCTGGACAAGTATATACAAGTATGTAGAAATGGTGCAGTTGCTGCATTTTATTGAGCAGTGTGGCAACTTGAAGGGATTTTATCCCCTTGCTGATACCCATCCAACTCTGTGATTCTATCTTCCCAGAAATTAGCCCATGGGTGTTTGTGGTTAATGCGAGAAGCCTTTCTCCTTTGCCACCATTAAACATAAAGTTGTAACATTCATGATATAGATTACTGGCAAATCAAGCCATTTTTTCCTCCAAGCTTGCAGTTGGGATGATTACAGTGGTAAAAGAGATTTTCCCCTTTTTTTCTTCAGTAATACTTTATGGAAGGGATTGGTAATGTTAGTGTGCATTAACCAAGAATGCAGCTTCTCTGTATGTACTCCAGAGTAAGAGTTCGGTTTTGTATGTTATATGTGTGTGTCATACGTAACATAAAACATAGGAAGAGCCTTGTGCCCGCCCCCCCAAGTTATCTTGCAGGTAAGGGTGAGGTTTTTTTTAAATTTTAGGTGAGGTTTCTTCCCTGTTGATCCTATGTCTTCTGTTCTCCCAGGTATGTGGTGCTGACTTCAAAGCATCATGAAGGCTTCACAAACTGGGGGTCCCCCGTGTCGTGGAACTGGAACTCTGTGGATACAGGGCCCCATCGAGACTTGGTGGGAGAACTGGGGGCAGCCCTCAGAGAAAGGTATGTGGGTTAAAGTGGGTGTGGGTGCATGAAATGTCATGATGAAGGAGAATATCTTCTGTCTGATTGTCCCCCCCCCCTTTGTGCTTTTTTTTTAGGAATATACACTATGGACTGTACCATTCCTTGTTTGAGTGGTTTAATCCACTCTATTTAGCAGACAAAAAAGCTGGTTTCAAGAGCCAATACTTTGTCTTGGGGAAAACGCTGCCAGAGCTTTATGAACTTGTTACAAGGTAAGAGCAAAAAACTTAAGAGACTGCAATACCACTAGGCCCGCACACTAGGGAGCAAGTCCCATTGAACACAGTGGGGCTTCCAGGTAAGCATGCTACGGTCTTGCTGCTAGGAGGTCCTCACCCCACCTGTTTTTTTTCTTTCCGTGACAGATGTCATCCCCTGTTTTGATGCTGTTGTCTGGACTAGATGTTACTATTCAGTTGCTGTTCTGTGTTTTTCCTCCCTAAATACAAACAACTGTGATAGGTTGTATCTTTGAACAATGAGATGGCAGGGAGGGTAGACAGGTACTTCTTAATTGTTTATTTGCAGCCATTTTTCTGCTTGATATAGCGCCCCCCCCCCCCGCTGGTTTTTGTCCTATTAGTGGGTTACTTCCATGCATGAGAATAATAATAATAATAATAATACTTTCCATTTATTAATCGCTTTCCCCAGTGGGCTCAAAGCGATGTACAGTTACTCAAATATAGACAAGGGACTAACAATGTTTGTAGGGGATAGGGAAGACAACATATATTCATTTTAATTGCACACGCCGACACTGCCCGGTGTAGAACGTCTTCTGGCTGGCTTTGTCATTTTCCGGCACGGCTGCTTGCTGGCCAAGCTCCAGGACCCGTATGTCTATCGCCACACTGCCACTGCCTAGCCGGAACGTCCATTGCAGGAGTTCTTTCTGTAGCCGGCAAGCTTGTTTCGCCTTACAAGCCTTGATCAGGATGTCCGACCGTCAGCTAACGCCCTCCCAGAAGGGAGATTGGCGTGCCCGCCCTCGCTAAGGAGCGGTTCCCATTTTATCTACTCGCCGAAGCTTTCGAATCGCTGGGTGGACGATGAGCTGGGGACAACAGGCTGGCTGCTCACACCAGCGCAGGGCTTGAACTAACACAGTTCAGATGTTAAGGCAGTGGGATATACCCACTGTGCCACCCCACAGGTGTGTGTGTGTGTGTGTGATCCATGGAGAATAGCTGGAAGGTACAGGATTAAGCAGCAGCTTGCAAACCACCAACATTCCTGTACTTAAAATTTGTAACCTACTGAGACTATTTGGTTTTTTCTTAAAAAGGAGCTGAAAGCATCTGAAGGGTGAAACTGGTTTTGTCCCTTTGTAGTTTCTTAAGTTTTGTGACGGTGACTGTAGTGTTTAGAAACCTTGTAGATGAAGAATGGACGTTGGCTGCAAGGAGCAACTGTGGTGTAGCAGTCAAAGTATCAGACTAGGATCTGGGAAACCCAGGTTCAAATCCATACTCTGCCATAGAAGCTTGCTGGGTGACCTTAGGTCAGTCACACACTCTCACCCTAACTTACCTCACAGGGTGGTGGTTGTGAGGATAAAATGAGGGAGAAGCCACTTTGGGTTCCCATTGAGGAGAAAGTCATGTAGCAAAAGTTGATACTAGTTGACTGTGTATTTAACTCCTGATTAAAGAAGTAGAGAAATTTAATGAAGTTTGCACTGTTGTGGGGTGAAGTTGTGGCAGGACGCAGCAAATCCCAGGGCTTGATCTTCAGGCTTTTTAAATCTGCTGTTTAGATACAAGCCGGATATCATTTGGTCCGATGGAGAATGGGAAGCTCCGGACACATACTGGAACTCCACCTCTTTCCTTGCCTGGCTTTACAATGATAGCCCAGTAAAGGTATCTGAATTCTCTTCATATTTATTAGTCAATTAAGGTGTTATAACTGGGGAGTTTTCCCATGTCTTGTATTTAAGACAAAATCCCCCTGAGTTTTGCTGTGTTTGGGATTGGGGTCAGAATGTTTTGTGCTTGTTTGTAACATCCACAGTGATTTCTGCCTCTTCCCCCCGGCCAGCCATGGTCAGATGTGCATGATATTCCTGATCTGGGGATGACTTGTGAAAATGACCACAAAGTAGTAGGCACAAGTTTACACTTACTTGCTCTTCCGTCTCATTTGCTCTGCAAACATTGTGACTGTTTGGAGTCCCTCTTAGATTTAGCATGCAATGTGTTAGCACTGAAGGTCATGTTGGAAATACATCCGAATCTGGTTTTGGCAACTTGAGGCTCGGACTCATCCCATCGCGCTCCTGATGGAGACGTGCCGAGTCGCAACGGACAGGAAGGGTCCTGGCCAGATCTGGGCCCTCCCGGGGTCCTTGTAGGGGCCTCCCAGCCTGGGGTGCAGAGGAGAGCCGCTCCCGAAGCGATGGCTCGGGGATCGAGGCTCTCCCTACCCTGAGAGGTCCTGCCGCTGCGAAGCCATCATGGCAAAAAGAGCTGGCTGCCGGACAAGCGGACAAGTGATCTAGCGCGATTTCTCTCCTACAATGATTTAAACGCGAAAAAACAGTGAGTTAAGTGATCCCCCATATAAGCGGCCAAGTCTTTAAGTCCACTGGCTTTAACTTGAGAAACAAGTGGCGGGTGGGGGAAGAGTTGGGGATTACCACCACCCCCTGAAACTGAACAGTCCCTGAACGAAGAAAAGGAAATAAGCGAAACTAACCGTATGAGACTGTAACTGAGACGGAAAGGTGCAAAATAATTCAAAGTGTATCTAACTTGGAGAACTTTGACTTTAAATCCAAAAACTTTCTTCTTGTATAAACAATGTCTGGAAGAGAGAGAAGAATGGCGCCGGAAAAGAAACCTCTCACAGGAAATACCATACCAACAACTCCCACCCAGACACAGGAAGCAGCTGCTGACTTTTCCAATATGCTGGCTACAGCATTGTGCCCCCTGCTGGAGCAGATGTCTAATATCAACAGCAAGCTGTCTAATATCAACAGCAAGTCTAGTATCAACAGCAAGCAACTAACACAGATAAAAGAGCAGACAAAATAGACAGAGCCATCAAGAGAGTTGAAACAAAGACCAAATATACTGAACAAAAATTGGGGGAAGTGGGAAAAGAGAGAGTCTCAGATAAAGGCCAATTGCTGCAACTTCAAATGGAAAGATCACTGTATGTCTTACGCTTTCAAGGTGTCCCTGAGCAAAAAGGAGAAAATTTAAAAGTAATTTTAAGTGAAGTGTTAGCACCGTGACAGATCTTAAGCAAGAGGTGTTGCAAAATGACATAGACTTGGCTTATTGAACTTATCCAAGTTTTATAAAGAAAAATAAACTGCCTGGAGAAATATTCGCGAAATTCTCTAAGAGATCTCCCAGAGACAGTGTTTTGAAAGCCACATCTGGAAAAGTTTTGAAGGTTAAAGACGAAGAAGTAAAAATCTTAAAGGACATTCCATTTGAGATGCGAAAGCGAAGGCAGCAATACAAGGATTTAACCTTCTTCCTCCACAAGAACTCAATCGCTTATAGATGGATTTTCCCAGAGGGACTTGTATTCAGCTATAAAGATAAGAAGAATAAAAGTGACTCTGTCCAAAAAGCCAACGATTTTTTGAAACAACAGCAAAGCCTGAGTAAAGATGACAAAAACTGTGGACAGTATTGAAGAAGAGGGAACCAGTGATGGAGGAACAGAAGACTCCTCGAGTAGCTCTAGCAGCAGCCTGGAAACCTCAGACTCGGAGAAGGGAGAAGCTGCACCCAAAATACTTAAAACGAATCTGAAGTACAAGAAGAAGAAATGTATAAAATAAATGGATAGTTCAACAGAATATGAGTGATTATAAAATACCTGAGACTAGTATTAAGATTAAGCTAGCGTTATCCTGAATTTTGATAAATTGATCTTTGTTATTATTGTAGGATTGTTATATATACAATGTAACATTTAGAACATGATCCTTGTCTTATCTTTTGTTTTAGTTATAATGATTTCCCCTGTTCCCCTCCCCTTAGGATGTAGGTTATAAAATGCAATTAAAAAGTTATATGTATAAAAAAAGGAAATGCATTCTGAGTAGGAGGCCTGTAGGTAACATGCATGTCATGTGTTCACTTTGCTGAACAATAAAGTCCACAGGCAGAGCTGAAGGTTGTTCTCTTCTTTTGGATGGGCAAGCACTGGAATCTTGTGGTGTTTTTTGTAATCTGTTTATTTTGAGAGCCAGTTTGGTGTAGTGGTTAGGAGCGCGGACTCTAATCTGGGAGAACCTGGTTTGATTCCCCACTCTTTCACATGCAGCTGCTGGTGTGACCTTTCAGAGCTGTTCTTTCAGAGCTGTTCTCTCAAGGGCAATTCTCGAGAGAGCTCTCTCAGCCACACCTACCTCACAGAGTGTCTGTTGTGTGGAGGGGAAGGGAAAGGGATTGTAAGCTGCTCTGAGACCTTTGGGTAGTGAAGGGCAGGGTATAAATCCTTTTTCTTCTTTTTCATATATATACAAGCAGAGCATAATGGAAGCAAATAATGCCCCTAGGAAGCTGCCAGCCCTGCCTTACATCCTCAGTTGCGAGTTCTAAGACTAAACCCCACTTTAACTGACGTTTCTTAAAATAACTCCCTGCTCTAGATGTGAATTGCATAGCTGGCTTCTGTCTGTTTCTCTGTCCTGTTCCACTGGCTGGAGGACATTGTGTTCTCAAACTCTAGGTACCACACTCCAAAGGCTGGGGACAAAGTGATCAAGGAATGTCACTGTTCTTTCATTTAAATCCCTGAGCAGCATGAGGTTAGGCCTATTCACAGTAATTGAGTCAATCCCTCAATAAGGCCTTAGCATATGTCATGATCTGGGCTTTGCCACCAGAGGCCTACTAGGCCCAGGGAGCCTGGCTAGCAGTAGGTGAGGCTGGGCCTACAACTCCCAGAAGCCCCTGAGAGGTTTTGGAGCCAAAATTGACCAATAGAAGAGGAGGGCTTGGAATAAAAGATCTGGAGCAGCAGGAAAAGCTGTTCTTTTTCTCAGGGAACAGGGCCAAGAGAGGCTGCTGTGGGGAAGAGACCTTCATCCTGAGGGAAGGGTGAGTAGTCTAGTGTCACTTGGAATAGTGAGTTAGGGACAGTATATATTTAGACTCATTAGGGCATTTGATTTATTTTATTTTCACCCACTTACCGTTATTATTCTGCACCTTGTTTGTTTGACCTCCTATAAAATTATTTTCATTGTTCACTCTGCCTGGTCCTCACACCTATTATTTGACTAAAAGGGAGGTCTAAAGGCCTGGGAGGGTGCTCTGGGCTTTCTCAGAGGAGCCTGGAACCAAAGTGGTGGCAGCGTCAGGTGACACCCCACCTGAGCCATGACATGGTGACTGTAGCGGTGGGATGAACTAATTTT